ATAATCAACAACAGCGCCCTGTCTATGACACTATAATAGCTGACATGAAACGAGAAATCCAAAAACTTCAACGACGTCTTGCACGTTATGAAGCTGCTGGTAATCATTCCCATCAATCAGACAGAGAACGGTCAGGTAGCCCAGATGAAGATTTCAATCCATTTCACTAACCCGAGGATGAATATTCAAGTGGAGAAACATCTCGTTCCTGACGAACGCGCCATCCTCGACACCGAGAAAAAGAGTTTGGAATCAAAGTTGAAAGTCCATATTTTGAAGGAGGTGTTCATCCCGATGAGTTTATCGAATGGCTCCATACAGTTGCACGTGTCTTTGATTTTAAAGACATTCCGGACGAACGCAAGGTCAAGTTAGTCGCCATCAAATTCAAGAAACATGCATCCATTTGGTGGGAGAATCTCAGACGACAACGTGAACGAGAAGGTCGTAGTAAGATCTGTACATGGGATAAAATGAAACGCAAACTCAAGCGTAAATTTTTACCCAGTCACTATCGCCAAGATATGTTTCTCAAGTTTCATCACTTGGAACAAGGAAACAAATCTGTGGCCGGGTATATTGCCGAGTTTGAAGATTTATCAATGAAGTGCGACAACTCTGAACCGGAAGAGCAGACCATTGCAAGGTTCTTAACCGGTTTGGACCCAAAAATCTCCAAAGTCGTACAACTCCAACAATATTGGTCGTTCAGCGACATCACCAAGCTTGCTGTGAAGGTTGAAGGCCAGCAAGCAAAGGAGAGAACTGGATTTAAGTTTGTCTTCTAAGGAGGCTTCTTACCGTGAAATACTCCAACAAAGTTTCCACTGAAGGCAAACTCTAGCACATCAACGAAGAAGGTTGAGAATCCAGTCACAACGAGCAAACCACAAAGGCAAGGTAACAACAATCCTACCTCCAGAAGATGTTTTAAGTATCAAGGATTTGGTCACATTGCTTCTGAATGTCCAAATTCTAGAATAATTTCTCTTATCGAAGAGGAATTGTTAGAAGAAGAACAGGTTGAAGATATTGAGGATGACAACAATGAAGAGGTTTTGCACATTGACGTAGGCGAATCGTTAGTTATTCGTCGTACCCTCAATGTCGCCCCAGTAAAAGAAGATGAGTGGTTACGCAACAACATCTTCCACACTCGATTTACATCTCATGGTAAAATATGTGATGTCATTATCGATATTGGTAGTTGTGAGAACGTGATTGCCGCCACCATGGTCAAGAAATTGAAACTGCCTACAAAGGATCACCCTTATCCATACAAGCTCACATGGTTGAAGAAGGGGAATGATGTCAAGGTCTCTAAAAGATACCTTGTTGATTTCTCCATCGGGAAGAAATATCAGGATAGGTATGGTGTGATGTCATCCCTATGGATGCTTGTCACCTACTTTTGGGTCGTCCATGGCAGTATGATCGTCGTGCAATTCATGATGGCTTTCATAATACTTATTCCTTTGAAAAGGATGGTGTCAAAATTGTTTTAGCACCTCTAAAAAGGGATTTGTTAGCAAAGCCAAGCCAAGAGACGAGCTCCGTTGTGTCAGAATCAATGTTTACAATGGCCTTAAAAGAATCCAATATTGTTGTGCTTTAGTCATGCTCGAGAAAAATCAAGAAGATCAAGGAATACCGGACAAGATCCAGCCTCTACTTCGCAAATTTAGTGACATTGTGCCGGAAGAAATTCCTGAAGGTTTACCTCCAATGCGTGATATTCAACATTGCATCGACTTTATTCCGGGAGCAGTCATCCCTAATAAGGCTGCCTATCGGATGAGTCCAAAAGAGCATGAAGAGCTTCAACGACAAGTCATCGATCTCATGCGAAAAGGATTGGTACGTGAAAGTGTAAGTCCATGCTCAGTTCCAGCACTTCTTGTCCCAAAGAAAGACGGATCGTGGCGCATGTGCATTGATAGTCGTGTCGTTAATCGGATCACTATCAAATATTTCTTTCCCATTCCGCGCCTTGATGATCTACTTGATCAATTGCACAATGCTGTTGTGTTCTCGAAGATTGATCTACGAAGCAGATATCATCAAATCCGAATGCGACCTGGAGATGAATGGAAAATTGCTTTCAAGACCAGGGATGGATTGTATGAGTGGATGGTCATGTCGTTCGGTCTTTCTAATGCTCCTAGCACCTTTATGCGACTGATGAATCAGGTATTCCGCCCTTTCATTGGCAAGTTCGTAGTTGTTTACTTTGATGATATTCTTGTGTACAGTCGAAATTCTGAAGAGCATATGAATCATCTACAACAAAATTTCCAAGTTCTTCGTGAACAAAAGTTGTATGCCAATCTAAAGAAATGTCACTTCCTCACCGACAAAGTGGTATTTCTTGGATATGTTGTCTCTAGCAGAGGGATCGAGATGGATCCTAGCAAAGTTGAAGCCATCAACACATGGCCAGTTCCTCAATCAATCCATGATGTTCGCAGCTTTCATGGTCTAGCGTCCTTCTACCGTCGATTCATCAAAAATTTCAGCACTATTGTCGCCCCGCTCACTGAAGTACTGAAGAAGGAGAAGTTTGAGTGGACCCCAGCAGCTCAACAAAGCTTCGAGAAGTTGAAAATTACGATCACCCATGCACCAATTCTTACCTTGCCAGATTTTGATAAGCTTTTCGAGGTAGATTGTGATGCCTCGGGAGTTGGTATAGGTGCAGTCCTCAGCCAAGAAGGACAACCAATTGCTTTCTTTAGTGAGAAACTCAATGAATCAAGGCGCAAGTACTCAACCTATGAGAAGGAATTCTATGCAATTGTACGAGCCTTAGATCATTGGAGTCACTATCTTTTGGCTAAAGAGTTTGTGCTCTACTCAGATCACGAATCACTAAAGCATCTTCACAGCCAACAAAAACTCCAACGTCGTCATGCAAGATGGAGCGAGTTCTTATCTCCCTTCCACTTTGACCTCAAGCACAAATCCGGGACGCAAAACAAGGTTGTTGATGCCTTAAATAGAAGACATGCCTTGCTCTCCACTCTTCAAGTCAAAGTCATTGGTTTCGAGGTTCTCAAGGACTTTTATGAAGATTATGAAGATTTTGGGGAAATTTGGAATAATTGTTCAGGAGGCCCTCAACGCCAGTTTCATCGACAAAATGGCTACTTATTCAAGGGAAATCAATTGTGCTTGCCAAGGTGTTCCCTACGCGAGATGATATTACATGAGGGTCATGCTGGTGGTCTTGCCGGTCATTTTGGTCGTGATAAGACATTGGGCATTGTTAAAGAAAATTTCTATTGGCCGCACATGGTTCGTGACATCGATCGATATGTCAAGCGATGTCGAGCATGTCATATTGCCAAAGCCCGAGGTCAAAATACTAGTCTTTACACACCATTGCCGGTTCCTGAAGCTCCTTGGGAAGATGTCAGTATGGATTTTGTTGTTGGGTTGCCTCGTACCCAACGCAACAAAGATTCCATCATGGTTGTTGTTGATCGATTCTCGAAGATGGCTCATTTTATTCCGTGCAATAAAACTAATGATGCCACGCAGATTGCTGATCTTTATTTTCGAGAAATTGTACGGATACATGGAATACCAAAGACGATCACTTCTTATCGAGATGTCAAGTTCATGAGTCATTTTTGGAGAACCTTATGGCGCAAGTTAGGAACACAATTGCAGTTTAGCTCCGCCGCACATGCTCAAACTGATGGTCAAACTGAAGTTGTCAATAGGACTCTTGGAAATGTGCTGAGAAGTCTTGTAAGCAAGAACATCCGACAGTGGGATGTGTTGTTAGTTCAAGCCGAGTTCGCCCACAATTGTTCTCCAAGCCAAACCACTGGTGAAAGCCCTTTCAAGATCGTTTATGGTAAAAATCCAACTACGTCGGTTGCTCTTGTTCCACTACCCGCTCCTAATCATTTTAGCGGTGATGCCGATGAACGAGCTAGAGAGATCAAGAAGTTACATGAGAAGGTTCGAGCTCAAATTACAAGGCAAAATCAACGCTATCAAGAACAAGCGAACAAGTTTCGTAGACCAGCTAGCTTTAAGGAAGGAGATCTTGTTTGGATACACTTAAGGAAAGAAAGGTTTCCCAGAGGAACACATGGTAAGCTCAAGCCCAGAGCTGACGGTCCATTTAAGGTCCTAGAACGAATCGGGGAAAATGCATACAAGATTGAGCTTCCGGGGGAATACAATGTCTCCGCCACATTTAATGTCGCTGATTTGTCCCCATATCACGAGGATGAGGAAGATCAAAGACTCGAGGTCGAGTCTTCTGCAACCGGGAGAGTTTGACAAGGTTTAACTAAAACTGCTTCTAGAAGACTTCCATGTCGGCACCCCATACCCCTCATGTCGGCAATGTTGAAATTCAACATTGCATTTAATTAGCTAGCTTCGTATTAATTTCTGGTAGTTGTAGTAGTTGCTAATGAAGGCTATAAATAGCCATGGTTGTAACCCGTTAACCGGGAAGCCTTTGACATGAAATATAATTAAACACTTTTGAGTGTTCTTAGGTAGAGTATTATCTCCCTAACCCTTGGTGGTGTTATTGTATCCAAGGTTCCTCTCTCAATTGTTCCTAGTGGTGTTTCTGTATCTAGGAATAAGTAGAGCTGTATCGTCGGAGTAGCCGACCGACGTGGTGAATTGGCTAATTCTAGCCGACCCCTGCTTAGTACGGTGTCACATAAGCTGGAAGTGACTTACTCACCTAGGAGCTTTGCATCTGTCGTCTGGCTTTATTGAACTGTTACCCATACTGGTATCTGCTTTATCTGCTATACATGATTATGCCTGTCAGCACATATTTAGAAAGAATTGATCAATCATCACAAGAGCTCAATGCACTGAGTAATTTTATTAACATAATATCATATAATGTGGCAGCAATCTCATAAGATGATTTCCAAATGTCCAACAGTTCAAGAACATAATATCATATATTTTAACCTTTTGGTGAAAGTGAAACTTCAACTGTGGCAAAGATCTTAACAGGGTGTTTGCATTTTTTTAATTTTAGAAATTGTTGTGTGACTGCGTCTATACACGAGATCAATAACATGACAGATCCAGTTACTAACAAAGCCCAGAGAAGTCAACAAATTTATTCTTAAATGTAAATTAAACTTTGATAAGATTTCAATGAGTTCTGTAGGGAATAAAAATTGTACATGAAATCTACAGCAGATGAAACAGGATATAACCCAAAAAAAAGAAAATTTTTAAAAAAAAAAAAAAAAGCTTTGTAATGCTGACCCTTAAGTCACATCTAATACTACTCGAGCATGGCCCTCTGATATTCAGAAATGTTCACTCAACCCGATGTGTGCCAGCAGCAACCATACATGAGTTAGAAGCTCCCATCCCTGAGCCAGCTCTTGAGCATGGTGATCTGACCTACATTGGCTTGCAGCTTACACTAGCATCTCCACCCATACGCCAACAATAATCTTCCATTTCCAATCTCTGTTTTCTAAATATTTTGCAAGGCGACAAGCATCAAACAAGACTGACTAGCTTCCATCACCTTTGATATCAGTCATATCACCTGGCAATGTATTAGTTTTTATAGTGAGCAACCTTTGTCTGGCTGTTTTAGCATCCTTCACAGATCTTTCCTGAATAAAATTCTTTGCCTCTACACAAGTATCCTGAAACCTGATTTTCCCTATTCCATTCGGCAACATGAATGGTCTTTTTACTAGTAGGTACAACATGAATGGTACAACATATAACTTAACAGCTTGCTCACTTGACATTCAACATAGCAAGCTGATTCAGGTCCCGAGTTTTCATCTGCGTGATAACATAAATCAGTGGCAATATGCCAAAGAAGGATGCTTTGATCAAATTCTTTCTCAATGCTCCAGTTGAGATCTTGTGATTAATATCTATCCAGAACCCTTGAACCTCGGGAAGTGCAAAATGCCTTATCTTCCTTCAAATCTGATGTATACTCAAGAAGCTGCTTGAAAATGTATTTTTTCAACATGTCCGGAACTCTTTCTGTTAGCTCTGTTTTGGTCCGGAATTGGAGTTTGCGAAAGAAATAGCAGGAAAGCAGTATGCATGATTTAGTCACATCCGCTTCAAAGCATGAATTTATCAGATTGTACTGCATCATGTGATTAGACCACTTACTGTCGCTACTGAAAATTTTAAGGCATGAGATGGCCTTGTAGATTTGCCTGACTGGCATCTTCTCATGATGGTCCAGCCATATCAAGGCCCAATCTAAGCAAAGCCAAATAACCATGCCAAAAATCTCAAGGGAAACAGCTCCAACCAACAAAGTGTAAGTTATAATCACATCAACTTCAGAATACTTGTGCTTTTGTGAGAAGTAGTAGGCTGCCAATGTGACTAAAGTTGAAGATACAGTGATAAGCCGTAATATGCGACCCCATCTGGTGTAGTGTATGGCAGCCTTTGTGTAAAAAGAATCAAAGACAAGAGCAAGCTCAATTTCAACAATATTAAACGCCTCTTTCCATTCACTGTGTAAGAAAAAAGATTTGCTCATCTCAAGCTCTTGAAAGCCAAGGATAAGGTCTGCAAAGAGGCATTTATATATCTGGAAGTATTCATAAGCTCTTTTGGGAATAGATGCTGCTTCAATATGGCAATCTCTTGTATTGTCTGTTACTAAGCTACGAACAACCACCTTGGGATCCTTCATTTTCGTCCATTGAATGTTATATCCTTCAGCTTCTCTCAAAACATATTCTTACATGAATTTACCATAGTTGGGGCCCGGATCAAAGCTAGGAAGAAGCAAGTCCCTGAATTGGTCACTGCTTGCAGACCTTAAAGCCCAGGTTCTCTCTCCGAATTTAATGATTCCAGAGACAAACATTGGGATAGCGACAAAGTTGAGCTGGGTGAGTCTCAAAGACTAGACAAAGATGTAAAATGAAACCAATACCTGTACTAAAAGCCCCAGCAAGTGCCGCAACAACAATGCATTGTCTTCCATGGAGTAAGCAGTAACAGTATCTAGACCACCAAGGTGCAGGAGAAGAATTGGCGCCCACAATGCTGTTAGTACGTTGCTGGAATCGACTGTGTCATCACCTTGTTTATTAGACAAACTGCCAAGAGAAACAGTAGCAACCCATCCAGTCAGCAGATAAGTAGGCAAATCAAAGTGTGCACAAAATTAATGGGAGAGAATTTGGTCAACGTCACCTATTAAAGCAGCTGTGGAGGACATCAATTGGAATCTTGGAAGCGGGAGATATAAGGGCTAAGGATTAATGCCAATGAAGAGAAAGAATAATGGAAGCAGAACTGACGCTTATTGTATCGCTAACTATGGATCAAAATGGGTTCAAACATGGACAATTACAGATAGCTCTAATCCAATGCGAAATGAACAGCATCTTTAGGAGGTTTTTGATCCATTTACAATCATCACCATTGCTGTGTTTGATGATTATCACTTTCATGATTATGGTGGGGCAAATGACTCTAGCATGGGCAAGGTCAGAATTCGTGTTTCTACCCTTGAATCTGGACAGATTAACAGGCATAGGTACCTACTACTAGTCCTGCATTCCTCAGCGGTGGAGAGACAGGGGAAATTAAACTAGTTGTAAGCAGCACTTGTACCATGGATTAACATGCTGCAACTTTATTCAAGACCTCTGCTCCCTAAAATGCACTACATTCACCATTTGTGTGTACGGAAGCTTGACCCCTTGAAAGACATAGCCACTCAGATAATCTCAAACTGGCTTGGTAAGGAGATAGTTGACTACATGCTAGAGGTAGACTTGAATATTTGGAGTTTAAGAAAGAGCAAGGAAAATTTCCTCAGAGTCATGAATTTTCTAAGATGGTTTGATCAGATATATAAGCGTGAGAGACCTTTTCTGACTATTTTCTTCCACATTCTTCTCACAACTCTTTTGCTCTACCCTAAGGCATTGCCATTTATTATCTTTTTCTCACTCTTCTTGATTAGCATCTGGAACTACAGTCACAGGGCCGTAGCTGACCCAGGGCAACCGGGGCACATGCCCAAGGCCCACGGATAGGAAGAGCCCAATTTTTCTAGCTTTTCAGTCTATAGAATAAGATTATATACATTTTGCATGCAATATTGATTATGTTTTCTATTGTGGCCTGGTGGTTGAGTAACTTATATTCACTTTGGCAGGTCAAAGGTCAAAGGAAAGGTTTGAGACTCATTGTCTTCATTTTTTAAAATTTATTTATTTTATTTAATTAACGTTTTTCCTCATTAACTGCTTAATTTTTTTTTTCAACTAACCTACTTCAGTTACCTCATTATCATTATATTTCCTCAAAATAAAAACCTCCTTATTCTTTTCTTTTATTTATTCATCCCTTTCTATTTGAAGAACACAATTTTTTCCTATTTGTAAAAAAAAAAAACCAAAATTACTTATACTATCAATGACCCACTGAAATTGAAAATACAATATACTGTATATTATTTAAACATTTGAATTTGTATCCAAATTAAAAAATACCTTAATTCATATTTCAATTCATTTATTTTCATTTAATAATTTATACTGGAGAACAATATAATTATCATTTTTGCTCTATTATTTTAATATGTTTGCTAGATATTGGATCACGAAGATATTATCGATGAATTTCAATTACTGGAGAAGGTCGATCTTAAATTTTAATGTTATTTTAATTTTGGCAGATGAGGTATTTGTATTCACATAAAGTTGACGTTTTTAATAGATAGTATGTATTTTACAACACCTAATTTTGTATTAAAAAAAAAAAAATTAATAATATGATGTAAATTTTAGTAATACAAACCGTCAAAAAAATAGATAGTTGGTTTAAAAAGCAATAATAGGAATTTATCTCATACACTTATGTTATTAAATATAGGGCCCAAATATATTTTTTTGCCCCGATCCTCCTAAATCTCAGAAACGGCCCCTGACTACAGATGGCGACGTGCTTGGCACCCACCTCGTATCTCTCACTTGTCTCTTTCTGATATTGATGACCCCGATGATCAAGATGAGGAGTTTGATACATTCCCAACCTCCCAACCATCTTATACTGTCAAGATGAGATATGATCATCTCAGAAGTAAAGGGAGTAGGATACAAGCTGAATTAGAGGAGTCGGCTACTATAGGTGAAAGGTTTCAGTCCCTAATTGCCTGGGCAGATCCTAGAGCAACTCCAGTGTTTTTGCTTTTCTATATTTGTACCTCTGTACTATTATGTTTCATAGAATTCAGGATAATTGCAGCTATACTCGGCTTTTACCTACTAAGACACACATGGCTCCGCATCATCAAGTTTCCTAAATTACTAGTCAACTTCTTCACAAGGTTGCCTTCTAAGGCCGACTTCATGCATTTGTAAACTCTAATACAGCTTTTTGCTTTGATGATAAAAAAAACAGTGAAATCCAGTGTGATGATCAACTCGTCTGATCTTTTGTTTATACATACATTGTAACCTCGTATATTCAAGATTTCAATGTATTGTTATACAACTTAGAACTTCTTGTTTATTCAATAAATCTTACTCTCTCCATCCCATAATTTAGAGTCCTATAAAAGCCCTCATTTCTAAGAATTCTAACACACTTCTCCTTGCGTCTATCCTAATAATATTACTCCTAAACATGTGCACAAAGTTACATAAATAGGACTCTTCCCAATTCATATGCAACAAAGAGAGAATCACCATCAAATACCGTTTTTATAAGATGTGCACCAATACACAACAAAAAATTACCTAACGTTTACCATAACCCGCCTTCGATAAGAGCTCAGCCCCAATCCTTGTCGGCTGGTCTTAGGCTCAACTTAACTTAGCCGTAATACTACCTACAACTACTAATTACTAAACAACACCATAGTTGGATTAACAGGCATTCAATGAACTGGGTAATTAATTTATTGTAAAAAAGAGAAGAATAATTTTTACTTCACAATATCCCAAAAACAGAAAATCCCAATTCAATTCCAGAAAAAGAGGATCAAATTCACAATTAATAACCCTGAACAATATACAAATAGGTTCCGGTAATATAAGTTCTGGGTATACTAAAGCAATTATACTATACAATTATTAACAGAGAATTAAGCAGCAAGCCAAAAATACAGTTATACAAGAAAAGATATATAGTGAACAATATAATCACAAAATAAAGAAAGAATAAGGGAGAATTTAGCTACTTACCAGCCCATGAAAATAAGGGTAAATATTGTTGGGATGTAATCAACAAATTGCTACTGTATTTTACTTGATCTTGTGGAATTATCGCCATTGATGATGTAAATGGAAGTGTTCAGCAGATAATTATTTCTTTGTTTATTTTTGAGGGTTTGGTTTTAAAAAGTCCTACACTCCTACTCAGTACTCACTCAATTCATTTGGGGGTATTTGGTTAAAGCCTCCATTTTTAAATACTTCTCCATGCGCGGAGTTTTAGGAGAAATTGGAAAAAGTAATAAAATATGGAGGTAGTGGGGTTGGTGGAAGAATTAAAAATTGAACAAAGCAAAAGTAGTGGAGAAATTGAAGGAGAGAGAATATGAAATTAATAAAATATGATATTTGTTGGGTCCACTAGGTGAGAAAAATGAGTTAAATATTGTAAAAGTTTTCCAAATAAGAAAATGAAGCAAGTATTTAAAAATGGCCGATAAAGGAAAGTGGAGCAAGTATTTAAAAACGGAGGGAGTATTAGATACTCTGTATAAGATATAGGGGTGAGCAAAAATTCTGGGTACCCGAAATTGGAACCGGAACCGGCAGGTCCCGGAATTGGATCCGGTGGTTCCAATTCCGGGTAATAAATTAAGGACCCGATTATAACCAATTCTCAACTTTTTGGAACCGGAACCGGTTGAGTACCCGGTTACCTAATATATGCTAAACTAAATAAATTTTAAATTTTAAAAATATGTTGAATGTATCTAATTTGTAAATTAAAAAAGTAATATTAATACCTAACATAAATACAAATAGCTTCATGCATATAAAAAATATAAGTATTAAACGCTAAAAATGAATCTAACTAAAATAAGAATTATAATTTTTATTATATTTTAACAATTACATACATAAGTGGGTACCCGGAACTGGAACCGGTACCCAGTGATTCCAATACCAATTCCTAAATTTTAGGACCCGGTTGAACCAATTCCAATTCCGGATCTGAATTTTAAGACCTGGTTCCAACCAATTCCAAGTCCAGGTCCTAAAATTTTGACCGAGTACCCGGTTTGCTCACCCCTAATAAGATATGGGTTTGTAATGACCAAAATTTATACCTTGTGTTTGTTTCTAGAAATTTCATTTTTTAAACTCATACCTCAAACTTCTAAGGCATGGGTTTTTGAATCCAAGGAGAGAGGTGGGTATGGCCCATACCCATACCTTTAGGTTTAAAATTAAATGAAAACAATCATTTCTAGATAAAAACCAAATATATGAAATTAAGTATCAAGTTCCAATCTCATACCACCCAGGTTTCATTCCTCATTACAAACCCATACCATTGTTTGAACCAAACGCCTCCTCATTACAAACCCATACCATTGTTTGAACCAAACGCCCCCTAATGTTTTTTGAGCTAAAATTATATTTATTTAATTTAAATTATATGTGTGACTATCAAGTCTATCATCGGTTAATCTATCACTAGGTCTAGTACTCTACATTCTCACTTATGTAGGTGAGGTATTATATTTATAAGTGATCGATAAATTTTTTTTTTTTCACTAGATAAGTCATTGATAATTCGATTTTAACTTGGCTTAAAGATAAAAATGACACAATAACTAATCGAATGAGATTATGAGAATTCTAATACTCCATAATTATTAATGACTCGTATAAAAAATGACACACGAATGACTGGATATCGATCCAATACTATGGTAATAACTCAATAATACTCTAGCTTAATATTAATCTTTTTTATTATTGAACTAGTGTGTAACCCGGGTGATGCCCTCGGTTGCTAGTTTGTGTACTTCTTTAACTTCATGATTATGTTCGACTATTTGAATAGTTAGTGTGTGCAGTGGTTCGGGCGTTGCCTCATGTGTTACTTTTTTCTTACATCATATGTATTTTCTAATCTTGTGAAAATAAATGTATTATATTACCTCTAATTTACTTAATAAATGAAAGGAATATATAATATTATATGAAATTTGAAACATTAATAAAAGATGGTTGAGGTGGTACATTTACTATCTATATGTATCGGAGGTTATGAGTTCGAATTTTGTTTTGTTAAATTAAGTGGCTAATTACATAGCACGGATATGAATCGGATTGATTCAATATTGAATTATCCTTATCTTAATCAAACTAAACTCAACCGAACCGAAATCAACTTGATCAAATGTCCTGAAACTAACCAGGTTAAACCATTTTGAACCAGATCCAAATTGTCCAAACCGAATATGAACCAATATGAAGTTTACCCGGTCTTAACTCAATTGACTTTGACTCGAAATCAACCCAACCTGAAAGTGACTTGAATCGACTTGAGGCAGATTAATAAGGTAACCTTACACCACATACCATATCCGTTATAAGTTAGCCCAAATTACAACTTATTATCCAAATGTCACCTTTATTAAGAGTCTAATCTATACATACGTGCATAGAATGAAAGTTTAGAATAAAAAAAATACTCCGTATCGTATAGAGTATTGTACGACAAAAACTTACGTCAACACTAAAATAGGGATAGAGAAATGTGGGCCTCGTAGTCCTCAGGATTAAATACACATACACTGAATTTGTCCGTATGTCAAACCACATACGGAAAAAATAAAGATAAAAACGGGGGATTCAATCTAAAAATTCCACCTCAGCATCTAATCATCGTTGACTTCCAAGCTGTAATACACAGCCAGGATAAAGCTGGTAATCTTATGAAATTAAGAAGTATTTTTTTTTTTTTTTTTTGAAACACAAATTAAGAAGTATTTAAAATATCATTATATTTTGAGAAAATTACCATATTTACATGTGTACATATATATACACAAATGTCAATCTCACAAAAAATTAAAAAAAATAAAATAAAAAATACCAAAAATCTCCCTTTATTAAAGAAGCGGCGACTCGACCCATGAACGTGATCTAGCTTTAGGTAGTTAAGCTTTCTTTTTCTTTCACACATATAAATTTTTCTTCAACCCTAAAACTTTATTCTTCCAAAAATTTAATCTCATATATAATCTCATTTACAACTAAATCTTTCGGTTTTACTGTAGAACGGAGAGAGTAATAATTTTGATTATAACTATCCTTTGTTATTTCGAGGATTTGTTTTATGAAAGGAAAATTGTGATTTTCTTTTTACAACTTTTTTTTTTTTTTTTCTATTTATACATATCTAGAATTTAAGATTTTTTAAACTTTACCAAAGTTTGATCGATTATTCATATTTTTTTGTATTAAAATCAAATCGTTAATCTGGTATTGAAAAAAAAATGACGTCGGAAAAAGTAAGCTCGGATCTCTCGATGATTTTGCCAAGGGTTCTCATTGTTTCTCGCCGTACTGTGCGTAAGAACAAGTTCGTCGATTTTGTAGGTTCGTTCTTTTTTTTCTCCTTGGTTATAACAATATAATTGATGTTTGTTTTCGTTGATTATGAAATACTCACTTCGTCTCTAAAAGTTTTTAAGGTAGTAACCGTTGAATTATGAAAAACTTTTAATTTATATGTTGAATTATTTGATTGTATGTTAAATTAAATAATTTTAGTTGTAGATATGAAGTTTCAATTGAAATTGAATGCTTGCCTATGATCACCATTATTTGTAACTTTGTTACATCCACTTATTCACATACGTTGTTACGTTACCAGTTCAAATTATATTTGTTTGTGGTATTGTTGAGTATTATTCGTAAAGATTTTGAGGAAGTTAGCAGTTGAAAGGGATGTGAGTTATTATAAGGGAGTATTGTTGAGTATGTTGGTCAATGCTGTTTAAAATTAACCTCATTGGGAAAGTACTTTTATTTATTTTATTGAGAATCATTGGTTAAAGTACATGAAAGCATTGGTATGTACTTCTTTTTCTTTGAAGACGTGAGAAAAAATATTTAAAAATGTTTTAATAATATGAAAAACATAATAATAAAATTTAAAATTTTAGCATCTAATTTGGTCAACTTTGCCAATTACATGAATATTGTCAAAGACGGAATGTGCCATAAATGTTTTGATCAAACTCTTATTAGTTAGGTGGAGTTTTGATGTATGTCCACCTACTCTTTAAGTGCTTGGATCAACAAGTTAAAGTTAATGAGTTGATCCGTCTTAACCAAAGCTCCTTCAGTTGGTGATTTCCCTTACTCGAATCCGGACTAGTCAGAGTCTAGCATACTCTAGATTACTAAATGATGTCTCTTGAAAATTTTTTAGCATAAACATGTTATACTTTGGAGTTAATTTTTTGTGATTGAACTCATCAAAGGATGTTATACTAATATACTCTAATGTAAACACCATGTTGTAATTTGTAACATTGTTCGTTATTGGGGAATTATTGAATAACTTCTATTGTAGTTTTAAGTCATTTCTGGAAAAAATTATAACTGGTTCACTTTTTTACTCAGGGGAATACCATTTAGACCTTATAGTAAGCTATGGTGCAGTACCAGTGATTGTCCCAAGAGTTAGTGGTGTTTCAACGTTGCTCGAAAGCTTTGAGCCAATTCATGGAGTACTCCTTTGTGAAGGTGAAGATATAGACCCTTCTCACTATGATTCTGAAATGTCAAACTTCACCGCTGAGGAACTCGAAGAGATAAGGCGAGCACATGCTAGTGATACAGCTATTGATCAAGAGAAAGACTCAATCGAGCTAGCCCTTGCAAAGCTTTGCCTTGAAAGGAACATACCTTACTTGGGAATATGCAGGGGATCACAAGTCCTAAACGTCGCTTGTGGTGGTACTCTTTACCAAGATGTTGTGAAAGAACTTTCTAGGGAACGCCCTGAGTGCCAAAGAGTATCCCATATTAACTATGACGATTATGATGGGCATAGGCACGCGGTGGAGGTGGTGGAGGATACACCAATACATCATTGGTTTAAGGAGTCCTTGGCAGAGAATAATATGGAGATTTTGGTTAATAGCTATCATCATCAAGGTGTTAAAAAGCTGGCGCAGAGATTTGTTCCTATGGCTTTCGCGCCTGATGGATTGATTGAAGGGTTCTATGATCCTGATGCTTATAATCCAGAAGAGGGCAAGTTTATTATGGGGCTGCAATTCCATCCAGAGCGAATGCGACACCCTTCCTCTGATGAGTTTGATTACCCTGGTTGCCCTTTCGCTTATAAGGTAAACTCAGCTTTTTAGTCATTCTATAATCTTCATGTGCTTGCTGTTGAGATGGCCTTGTGGGTTGTTATAATAATGTACAAGACTGATAGAATACGTCGATTTTACTGTGAAGTACTGAAGAAATATTGTGCCTGTAAAGATTATCAGCACTGAATATTGTTTGGAAGGATTGCAGGAATTTGTGAAGGCTGTGATAGCTTATCAGAAGAAGCTAAGCAGTCAAGCAAGCGTGCCAAAGGGTCCAAAGCTTAATAAAGAGCAGGAAACCAAGAGAAGAATGATTGTCAAAAGCTTCTCAATTGCAAAGGACATGTATATATCAGGACGGAACTCTGCTGTTGCTGTCAAGGAATCAGAACTTGAACCAGGCGCAGTATTCCTTGAGGTAACGACAGCTAACTTTGAGCTACTATATATATCAGCAAACAAGAGCTTCTTATTGCTTCTTTTGACTTATAATCCGATTCAAACACATTTTAATTAATAAAATGAACATGAACAGGAAAATACAGCTTACAGTGTATTGAGTTTACAACAAGAACATAGGCTAAGGCAGATGGGTGCAACTGTGAGGAACGGACATGGTTATAAGAAGCTGAAGTTGAAGGAAGAGCGGGAGAAAGTGGCAAGGTCAATCATAGGGAAGATGTCAATCGAACAGCTATCTGATATGATGTCGTTTTACTACATGATGGGGCAGATTTGTTCCGAGGTTTTAGAGACCAAGCTTCAACACCTGGAATTGCTTCATGTGAATGATAAGTCTTAGCAGAGGACATGTTTTTTTTTTTTTTTTTTTTCCAACTATTATTGAAATAAAAAGGGTAATAGTTGAGCTCCTTTGTTGCTATTACTTGCATAGCCTCCATTAATGATAAACTGATTTTTGAGATGGATATATTTGTTCATCTCATTCAAGGGGTGATATAAAAAGTAGGAGGATGAATAGAGGGCAACTTTTTATCTAATTCTAATTGTTTTCTTCTGCATTATGTCTCAAAAATTACAATTTCTAATGACAAGTTAAAAGTAGGAAAATTTTCATTTTGGTGTCCTGGTCTATAGCTATTATGATTTAATTTTAGTCATCGGTCTAATATAAGGCATACCTGATGTGAATTGGTGTGTTTGCTTTGGATGTTTCGGTGTGAGCTGCCTTGCTTTGAACACAGGTTTATATTATTTTCCTTCCATAATGTTGGTTGTGCCTGTTCGGACAAGAAATTTAATACCAGTACAAACATTAGGATATTAAATTTGTAAATACAAATTCACAGGGCACCAAAATGAAAATGTAAAAAGAAATGAAACTCGAGATAAATGGTGAGTAATATTGTCTTTTTTTTTTTTTTTTTTTTTTGGTCCTTTTTAAGGTGCAGCCGTAGGTAGTACATACATTTAAGTTGAATATGAATGATGTATTAAGTATTCAGTCGCTTGAATATGTTGATCATAGGGGTTTGGGCGACTGGCTAATTAACATCCAATCCATAGCTCTTGTCAAATAAAAACTTTGCATTTTACCCTTCATGAACTGTGCTTAGAATGTTTTATTGATTTGGTAGTGTAATTAAAAGATAATTATCTGGTGGTTGTCCTGTTTTTGCTGACCTGTTACTTCGAGGCTTTATCTCGTAGATTCTATGGGAAAATTAATATCAATGTTAAAACTGTCATGAGTTGCTGCAGATCTTGGCAGAAGATGGTGTGATTGTTTTGGTTAGCTTATTCGGCTGTTTAGACTATTTGCTGTTTGTGTTTTACGGCTTGTGTTGCTGTCTTTTAGTAAGACGATTCTAGCTTTCTTTGTTCCTTCCATTCCAGGTATGTGAAGAGTGTTTTTCCATACTTTCTCTTCTCGCAGTCTCACTCTTTGTTTCCTTGTTCTTAAGCTTAGCTTTTAAGTTACAAGTTATAACGTTTGTTTTATGTATGTGTTGCCTCCACTTACATTCTTCTTAGATGAAATTATATTATAACATTGATTTATTAGACGCTAGTTGCTACATGATAGAAAGAACAAGGCAAAAGCTAATGAGCGCCCCCGGGGCGTTGGATAAGATAATTAAAATGCAAATATTAGAGTAAAATTAACATTAATTACACCGAACGACGCGTGATTTTGTCATGAATTCCTAACTTAATACCATTTCAACCAATATAATTTATCCTTATCTAACGCCCCGGGGCGCTCGTTAGCAAGATCGAAAGAACAAAATAATAAATTACAAAATTCAAGGTAAAAGTGTTCTTGATCATGTAACACAATCTGTAGTTTACTCAAGATTGATATGCTTCTTCAACTTGAGTTGGTCTCTTGTTATGCATGATATTTAATGACATCCAAGAAAAAATTCCGACTGCCAATTTTCTGCAGCAGGCATACCTTATAAAATTACATATTACAACTCGAAAATTAGTAAGGTTTCAAAGTATGAATTCTAGCCTCTCTAAACTATGCTTCTCCTTCTCAATTTCATTCACTTCATGTCAGCATGCTGGTTTTCACCTTGCACGCGGTTTTACAAATAAAATAGCATCCCCTTCTATTTCTGTGGGTTCACATTTGCATTCAATTGCTCCTTTAAGCTTGACCTCTAACTTCTACAGCCGCGTTAAATTGTCCTGCTTAGCTTGTGGTTGTGAAGAGTCAGCAATTTTGAAGCAACAATTGCATTGAATTTGTTACGCACTTGACACCATTGGTTGACCATTAGCTGTTTGTATTATCAATTGATGCAGTTCGATCTTCTTTCATCTGATCATAATTTTTCAGGTTCATATTATTGCCCGTCTTCAACAACGTTAACTATACTAATTGGATTGTTTTCCTGTGGAAGCAGAATTCCAGGTTGGTGATCAACATTTGTTCTTTCCCAGGTTAGGAAGATTTTCTGCTGAATGACAATACCTGAAAATTTCTGCTATCTTATTGTGGTACGCAGTAAGATTTCTCCATATTTTGATTGCTAATTCACTTTGTTTTTCATCTGTTGATTTACTGCATTCTTGTTTGTCATGATATTCTACATTTATTCTGCTTGTGTTCATGTGTTGGCCTTTCCATAGCATGTCTTTAATCACTTTACATTGATTAGGGAATAGGGAGCTTGAATCTGAACATCTCTAGATCCCGATTAAGGCAAGGTTTATCATTCATACCTAGCTTTAATTTCCTACAACGCAAAGTTTCTACAAAATATTTCTGACGAATTACAACTCTTAGTTTGTTTACAAGAAAAATTATAATATCATTAATAATACGACATCTACAATAAAAATTTGTAAACCATAGATTTAGAAAGTAATAACGTAATGTTTACAATCAAAACCATAACTATTTTGCATATTTGACATAGGTCACACTCCACAGCTTCAAGCTTAATTGACACGAGCGGTGTTATCGATGTCTTCACTTCTTTCCAAGTAGAGATTCGCAATTAGCGCTGATGTTTTGATCGTAGAGTTGATAAAAACCCCTAAACCCATATGAATTCAAATCACCTTCCCAATTATTATTAGAACCCTAACAATAAAATTCTCATCCATAAATGAGAATCCGAATCTCAGAAAATAGGAAAATTACAACCGTGCCTTAAATTAGTTTTACAATAAACAAAATTTTAAAAATTACTTTATATATTTTTATATGAAGTAAAACAACTCGAATTTTATTATAATTTGTAATAAAAAGACCTCAAGGGTTTTATTTAGATTTGAAACCCTCATGGTTAATTAACATTTCACGCTATGAACCGCCGATAGAGCGTCGAGTATCGTATTAATGTTTAGTAACACTAGAAGGAGGAATGGTGAATAATTAGAATATATTAGATTATGATATGAAAAGAAGAGAAATTAGATAAAAGTAGAATGTGAGAGTCCAAATTCAAAATTTAACTTTGCCCATCCATAACCTTAGATAGAGCACAAAATATATAAGATCGAAGTCGGAAAATAGAATAGAATTTGTTGAACATGTGTCGTGCCAAAAAAATTAGCGCACCGCATTATGAAAACAAGTGTCGTAATACACTAATACGGCAAGGGAGCACTGTGACGTAGCAAAGCATGCTTCACACTGTGCATACTGGCGCCTCGCGCCAGATTTCTAGCTCGTGGTGCGCCAGATCGGAATTTCCAATCTAATTTTTTATGCTTTACATGTTTTATGTAGAAATTAAATTTACTAGCATAATGCTCGCGTGTTGCACGGTTTATAAATCAAATTACTAATCCCGTAAGGAAAAAAACTAATATAATTCAATTAGTAATAAAGGGCTCATTTACTAATGGTCGATATAAAAATAAAAGAACGTAATTTGAACAGTATTTTAAGTTATTTGTATTTTTTTATAAATTTAATTTATTAATTGAAAAATGTATGAATATTGCTAGTGCACAAACTTATTTTCTTGTCATACCTTCCGCTTCAGTAACTACAACTAATTCGAAATACATGTTTTACATGTCATATTCACAAAAATCTTTAATTATTTATTATAATAATAATAAATTTAGCATAAATTTTCCTTGGAAACTATATTTTTTACTTTTAGATGTATATTTTAAAATCTAAGTGAATTTAAATTTACGTTAGGTTTGTGTAGTAAAAATTTGGAAACTTTATATTATTTAAAATTACATTAGATATGTAGTCTAAAATTACATAGAATGGAAAATATTAATTATAGAAATGGAAAATATATGAATCAATATAATCACAATTATATTTAATGATTTGCGGAATATTTTGTGTATAACTTATAGTAGGTAACTAGATTAGCTCCTGTGCGATGCATGAATATAGTGAAAAAAAGAGCTATATAAAACAATACTCCATTACAAAAAAACATAAATTAAATATTCAATTGGGTAAATGGTTGTCAAAAGGTTTATTAAAAAAAAATTGTGAAATCGTTCAAAAAAAATTGTGAAGAGTTATTTGTATAGTATAATGTATTAAATTATTTTGCAGTCAATATTTAGTTTTTTCCATAAAAAATGTAAAAGAGAAAAAAAAAGTTTTGGTAGGAAAAAATTAAAGGAGAAGCTAACACATGTACAATATGGATAAATGAATTATGTCAGCAATTGCTACTTTAGTATTAGTTATAGATTAATGTCATTTGGCTAATAAAAAAAAGGAAAAGGGAAAAAAAGGGGAGGGGATTTTGGAGGGAAAAAACAGCACCAAGAAATGACATGTCTCATTCATGGTGTCTGTTTTAGTATTAAACTAGATTAGAACCCGTGCGATGCGTAGTTTATATAAATTCTATTTTAAATGTGTACATTTTTAAAATAATGGCTATTATACCTAAATATAAATAAGTTACGAACATTTTGTAATTTTAAATTTTTTATTTTCATCAAAATTATGATATAGTATCTGTTCAACGTCGTCTAATTCATAGTTTAATGTAGGAGGTCATTTATTAGTGTGCTATGTAAAATTGTTTCAATTTTCTACGATAAATTGATATGTGTTAGTTGTAATGTAGAAGCTTCTAATATTTTAATTTAAAAATTGTTAAATATGATAGATCTAAAAAAAATTGAAAAAATGATATCATCATTGCATTTAAGCGGAAATTTTTTATTAAGAGGACGACACGTCGTAGCCAGTGATATCAGCATCTTTTGTTTTAGTAATAGTTAATAGATATTGATGATTGATTTGTTTGGGCTGTTATTTGAAGCATTTTAGGAGTTCTTGTATTAGGCTAGGATAGGTGTATGGATTGATTGATTAAGGGATTGGGCTTAGGAAATAAATGGAAAAGGTTAAATAAAAGGCTTAGGCTCAAAAATGGAAATAAAGGTGGGCTAGGACAATGAAATAGATTGGATTTATTAATTAGACCTTTTTTTTAACAATGAAAAGGAGATTATATTACTAGCTGGTCATGAAGACCCAGCAAAACATCAAGAGTTGAGAGTACCATAATAAAGATGCAACCCCATGAAGCGTTGAAAACCCAAAACTGCAAACATGGGGGTTAAATGCCCTGTAAAGGCTCCGAAGCAAAAAAATAGAAAGCAATAAAAAAGAGACTAAGAGTAGAAACTACAACATAAATAAAAGGTAGAGAGTAGCCCGAAAGCTTGGACGACAAAGCAGTAGGATTAGTGAGCCGACATTCATCATGTCCATGCAATCCTTCAGCTCCTTCATGTACACTTCAGTGAGAGAAGGAGGGGAGAAAAAGTGATAGGCAGTAGGACTATTTTGTTTCCGGTGCGCTTGACATGAAGAATATGAACAACCCATTCCCCTGCAAGCAGCTTAGAGATGTCCCCAATAATGGCAGCTAACTTATTATCCGTGTACCTAGTTGGATTTTCCGGCATGTATTTAAGTGCCTTGGCATCAATCTCCAACTGCAGAATTCTGATTTGTCTAGCCCAAGCTGTTGAAAGTCCTTCCCTGATGGCAAGTAACTCAGCAGAGACTGCCCCGACTGTGCTAAGATTCATAGAGAAGCCAATTTGTCATTTCCCTTTGTGGTACCAAATGTTCCCAGCAGCTCCAACATTGTCGTTGTCAATCCATTACCCATCCGTGTTGATTTTGTAGAAGCCAATTGGCGGAGGGGCC